ACCACCAATGTTGATCCCTAAGCCCAAAATACACCCTTTATTGTATTAACGTACTTTGATACATCACATACACCTTAAGACACTACACTCTGCTCCCTACATACACTCAAATACACTACACTTACAGTGTAGTGTATTTGATGCTTACTATCACTTCTACACAGCCTAACACACTCCGTCCCATCACACGACCCCGTATCCCACGACCCTGTGAGCCCTACACACCAAGGACGGTAAACTTACAAGTCGTATCCACCACCTTTGAGTAAACTTGTGAGTGCTGGCACGAAGCCCCGGTAGTATACCTATGAATATGTATACCACAGTTCAGTTTACCTGGCTGGGAGAAGGGATACAACTTTGAAATTAATTATAATAATTAAAATTGTAACTAGAATTAGACTACTTCTATTACTAAAAATAACGTTGATGATAGTGGTAATTAGTAGTAATTAGGCAATCGCTAATAGGCTTTGGTGCTCTGTGAAGGAGATCAGGACTTGATGTGTGGTGTCATTCTTGGCTGTGTGGGGGTATTCTTGGCTGTGTGGGGGTATTCTTGGCTGTGTGGGGGTATTCTTGGCTGTGTGTGGTGTAATTCTTGGCTGTGTGGGGGTATTCTTGGCTGTGTGGGGGTATTCTTGGCTGTGTGTGGTGTAATTCTTGGCTGTGTGGGGGTATTCTTGGCTGTGTGTGGTGTCATTCTTGGCTGTGTGGGGGTATTCTTGGCTGTGTGTGGTGTCATTCTTGGCTGTGTGGGGGTATTCTTGGCTGTGTGGTGTCATTCTTGGCTGTGTGGGGGTATTCTTGGCTGTGTGTGGTGTAATTCTTGGCTGTGTGGTGTCATTCTTGGCTGTGTGGGGGTATTCTTGGCTGTGTGTGGTGTAATTCTTGGCTGTGTGGGGGTATTCTTGGCTGTGTGGGGGTATTCTTGGCTGTGTGTGGTGTAATTCTTGGCTGTGTGGGGGTATTCTTGGCTGTGTGGTGCCATTCTTGGTGTGTGGTGCCATTCTTGGTGTGTGGTGCCATTCTTGGTGTGTGGTGCCATTCTTGGTGTGTGGTGCCATTCTTGGCTGTGTGTGGTGCCATTCTTGGTGTGTGGTGCCATTCTTGGCTGTGTGTGGTGCCATTCTTGGCTGTGTGTGGTGCCATTCTTGGCTGTGTGTGGTGCCATTCTTGGTGTGTGGTGCCATTCTTGGCTGTGTGTGGTGCCATTCTTGGTGTGTGGTGCCATTCTTGGTGTGTGGTGCCATTCTTGGTGTGTGGTGCCATTCTTGGTGTGTGGTGCCATTCTTGGCTGTGTGTGGTGTCATTCTTGACTGTGTGGTGCCATTCTTGGTGTGTGGTGCCATTCTTGGTGTGTGGTGCCATTCTTGGTGTGTGGTGCCATTCTTGGCTGTGTGTGGTCTCATTCTTGACTGTGTGGTGCCATTCTTGGTGTGTGGTGCCATTCTTGGTGTGTGGTGCCATTCTTGGTGTGTGGTGCCATTCTTGGCTGTGTGTGGTGCCATTCTTGGTGTGTGGTGCCATTCTTGGCTGTGTGTGGTGCCATTCTTGGCTGTGTGGTGCCATTCTTAAAGTGTGGCGCCATTCCCGGTGTGTACCGCCATTCCTGGTGTGTGGTGCCATTCCTGGTGTGTGGCGCCATTCCTGGTGTGTGGCGCCATTCCTGGTGTGTGGCGCCATTCCTGGTGTGTGGCGCCATTCCTGGTGTGTGGCGCCATTCCTGGTGTGTGGCGCCATTCCTGGTGTGTGGCGCCATTCCTGGTGTGTGGCGCCATTTCTGGTGTGTAGTGCCATTCAAATATATGTCTAGCCTACGCTTGAAACAAATCAAGCGATTCTAAACTATGCTACCCGGTAGTTCTATAATTCAACTAACTGCTTTCCAAACCAGTATTTTCCCAGGTCTTTCCTGAGTTATCGAGTGGCTGGCATGAATGAGGCTTCGACTCCCACCTAATCACTGATAAGTCAAACATGAGATAACACAAGAGTTCCTAATGGGTCCTTAAATTAACGGGAAACGACCTCGTTAAATTAAAGCCTTCGCTAAGTTAATGCGTTTATGACTGTGTAGGGTGGAGAAGGCGCCCCTAAGCTGGGGCAATAATAGTCGGATGAACCACTCGTTAAAAAGGTCAAACAGTCCGGTTGATGGGATGTTCATTCCATAAGTGTATCTCGCTGCTTCGAACATGTATTCTCGTTTTCTTTAATGAGTTCGCGCGCGCCCTCTCACTGATCGCTATTGAGACGAGCAGAAAAAGACGTTTGAATCGAGGTTTGACGTCAGACAAATGAGCATCGGTTGTGTGGGTCGTGGCGGGGTTATCTCCCTAATCAGAACCTCTCTAACCTGCATTCGTTAATATGTTTGCATTTCTTGGTCTGCGGTATTAAGTCTGAACAAACTGCATTTGCTGTTAAGGGTAGATGCGTGACATACAATAAGATATGTCGCAAAGGAGATGGATTAAACTGTACGGCAAGATTCAATATGCAATACGGCACTATTGGGCTGTGAGCATTCAACAATACAAGCAACATATAGGTACACACACACACACACACACACACACACACACACACACACACACACACACACACACACACACACACACACACACACACACACACACACACACACACACACACACACACACACACACACACACACACACACACACACACACACACACACACACACACACAACACACACACACACACACACACACACACACACACACACACACACACACACACAATAAAAAACAAACATACAACACAAGCAAGGCAGATATACACTCGAAACCTCAAACAGGCCTAAAATAAACAAAAAAAAAACATACGCCAGATAAGTGATCCCCAACCATAGACCTATGAAACAATTTCAGGGGAGTCCCACGTGGCCAAGACTCCTCTACTTTATACACAATATGAACCAGTTAAGGAACAATTAAACTGTTTTTTCAATGATTATTTACATGCAAGATTAACTAAGAATAACAATGCAGAAATTGTGACATATTGATGTGTTTGCGTGTGTTTGTGCGCGCGCGCGCGTGTGTGTGTGTGTGTGTGTATTTGTGTGTGTTTGTGTCATAAATGACTACAGCCAGTTTGTTGTTTAATATTCAACTACTGGGAACAATAAGTTCCAGGTAGCACGGGCTATGGTGATCCCGTAGTGCTGCCTATTTTGGTGGCTTAATTTATCTAGTTGAAGGGGGTCCACAGGTGAGACCATGGTTGGACATACACCTTTATACATATCAAACATGTGTAAACTACACATACATATACATAAAATCTATTCACATATATGGGACGTGAACATACGCACACATTAGGGGGTATATGTGCACATATGCGCAGGTGTACATTAGTGATAGCGTGTGGAAGGAGGCCAGGTGTGTGTGTGTGTGTGTGTGTGTGTGTGTGTGTGTGGATGTGTGTGTGTGTGTGTGTGTGTGGGAGGCAGGAATGTAGGAAAACGGCAGATGTGTGTTCGTAATACAGGTGTGTGTGTGTAAGATGGGTTGGAGGATAGGTGTGTGTGTAACGGAAAGTGTGTGTGTGTGTGTGTGTGTGTGTGTAAGGAAGTCAGGTGTGTATGAAGAGGTCAGGCATGTGAGCAAGAACAAGGGAGTACTGATCACGTGAATTAGTAAGGAACTATTTATAATAGACAATAGAGGCAGCTCCCTACAATACAACCGTAGACGTCTACGATACAGCCGTTGACATCTATGCTACAGCCATTGACACCTGCGATACAGCCGTAGACGTCTACGATACAGCCATTGACGTCTACGATACAGCCATTGACGTCTACGATACAGCCATTGACTTCTACGATACAGCCGTTGACGCCTACGATACAGCCATTGACACCTGCGATACAGCCATTGACATCCACGATACAGCCGGTGACGTCTACGATACAGCCGTTGACGCCTACGATACAGCCGTAGTTATCGGGATAAATTAGATGGAGGTGTCTGTAACAGGACGCAGGCCGTGTCTGTGTCAGGACGCAAGCCGTGCCCGCTAGAGGACGCAACCAATACGTAAGTTACGCACATAGACGCAGACAAGTCACAAGGAATTCGTACCAAAAAAAATACAATTCGACGGACGCATCTAGCCGGACATATTTTATATATTGGGTTTAGTTGGCAACATTGTGTGGGAGGGAGTGGGAAGTGGGAGAAGGGGGGTATTATGACCAAAATAGGTGTTGAGAGGCAGTATTATGTCCAGAATAGGCATTAGGAAGAGGTATTACGTCCAGAATGGTCGCTGGAAAGAGGTATCACGCCCATAATGGTCGCTGGAAAGAGGAATCACGCCCATAATGGTCGCTGGAAAGAGGTATCACGCCCATAATGGTCGCTGGAAAGAGATATCACGCCCAGAATGGTCGCTGGAAAGAGATATTACGCCCATAATGGTCGCTGGAAAGCGGTATTACGCCCATAATTGTCGCTGGAAAGAGATATTACGCCCATAATGGTCGCTGGAAAGAGGTATTACGCCCATAATGGTCGCTGGAAAGAGGTATTACGCCCATAATGGTCGCTGGAAAGAGGTATTACGCCCATAATGGTCGCTGGAAAGAGATATCACGCCCAGAATGGCCGCTGGAAAGAGGTATTACGCCCAGAATGGTCGCTGGGAAGAGGTATCACGCCCAGAATGGTCGCCGGAAAGAGATATCACGCCCATAATGGTCGCTGGAAAGAGGTATTACGCCCAAAATGGCCGCTGGAAAGAGGTATCACGCCCAGAATGATCGCCGGAAAGAGATATTACGCCCAGAACGGGCATTTGGGAGGAGGTATCAAGCCCATAATGGTCGCTGGAAAGAGGTATCACGCCCATAATGGCCGCTGGAAACAGATATCACGCCCATAATGGTCGCTGGAAAGAGGTATTACGCCCAAAATGGCCGCTGGAAAGAGGCATCACGCCCTAACTACGTGAGGCATCATACCTGGGCCGGGAGACTTGGGAGTAGTATTTGGTGAGCTCCTGCAGGTACTTGATGGCGTCCGCCATGGCCGCCAGCTCCGTGGGGTCGGGCTTGCCCTCTACTGCGCCCATCTCCAGCACGCCCACCACAACCGCGGCCACCACCATGGCTGAGACGATGTGGCGATACATGGCTACGTGGGTAGGCTTGTGTGTGTGAGTGTGAGTGTGTGAGGAGAGACGCAGCAGCAGGGCGAGGTGGTGGTGACCTGGCGGCGGCTGGGCAGACAGTGAGCCGTCTTCCTCCTGCTCCCGCCTTATATAGCCACGGCGGCCCTTGCTGGCCCCGCCCACTCGTACACACACACACACACACACACACACACACACACACACACACACACACACACACACACACACACACACACACACACACACACTTGGCGGGATCCAAGAGTCAATGCTCGATCCTGCAAGCACAAATAGGTGAGTACACACACACACACACGCGCGCGCGTAAATCTAAGACTATAGCTTTATGGCTAGAAAAATCCTCTTTGGCAATAAAGATGACTCGCTAGAAGGTCTTCAGTACTCTGACGTAGATGGCGCCTGCTGCTAATCCTCACCTGAAAGGGTAGATACAAGTGACCAGTAGAAAGTAGAATAGCCTCGTTGAGCGGTAGATTTAAGTGGTAGAGTGCTGGCTTGGTTGAGTGACGCTTTCGAGTCGTCAATGTTGACGTCAAATGACTTCAATTGGCATCTCAAGCTCCCGTTATATATATATATATATATATATATATATATATATATATATATATATATATATATATATATATATATATATATATATATATATATATATATATATATATATATTTTACATTGATGTGCTTCCGAGGATCAATGGGCCCGTGACCCTGTTTCTTACTCGACTTTCTGGTCAATCAGGCTGTTGGAGGCCGCTGTACGCACTCTCATGTTAAATGATATATATAGATTTCAGCTTACACATCGCCATATATATACCTCTACACACATATTGTCAAGCGCCATTTCTTCAATTTTATGTTCATTTTTATTCACAGCAAGTAATCGCATTAATAACTTGTTTTATTTAAAAAAACTAATTGAAATTATTTTATCATAGATGATACACGGTCATTTAGAATCAGGAGAAGTTATGCATTTAAATGCTCGATTTAGGTCCTTAACTGGGTCATAAATTCTCTGTTTAGGTTCTTAATTGGGTCATTAATGCTCAGTTGAGTTCCTTAATTGGGTCATTAACGCTCAGTTGAGTTCCTTAATTGGGTCATTAATGCTCAGTTGAGTTCCTTAATTGGGTCATTAACGCTCAGTTGAGTTCCTTAATTGGGTCATTAACGCTCAGTTGAGTTCCTTAATTGGGTCATTAATGCTCAGTTGAGTTCCTTAATTGGGTCATTAATGCTCAGTTGAGTTCCTTAATTGGGTCATTAACGCTCAGTTGAGTTCCTTAATTGGGTTATTAATGCTCAGTTGAGTTCCTTAATTGGGTCATTAATGCTCAGTTGGGTTCCTTAATTGGGTCATTAATGCTCAGTTGAGTTCCTTAATTGGGTCATTAATGCTCAGTTTAAACCTTTGGGTGTCAAATCAAGAATTTTCCATTCATATGAAAAATGTTACAAGTGTTTAAAACCGTTTGACTTATTCCTTCAACTCTCAATAATGTTTCAATATCCCCCAAAAAGAGTTCGAATCTCCGAATTTAAAAAAAAAAGAAAATCATAATTCAAACCAATAAGTTATAGTGACAAGAAAGTTTTCTTGTGTTAATTAGTTTTAAGGTGAAAATTGGTAAGTATTTTCTTGTCCGGAAATATATTAAGATTTAAACTTAATATATTAAACGTAAACTCCCTTTACGTTTTCGTGTGTATGTGTGTGTATATATATATGCGAATGCCTGTCTGTCTGCTATCTGAAGTTAGAGGCCAGACGTTCATGGCAAGCATCACTCAATTTACATGAACCATGGGGAAAAGGGCGGAGGAGCGTGAGTGTCAAAGGCCATTTGGGGGTCGGCCCTAGTGCCCCACTTTAAGAAATATTTAACCGTGATCACACCCCCACCTCCCTGCGGTTTTCATGCAGTCAATTCTGAAATAGAGGGTGTGTTTACCGTAGAGTTATTTGACAGTTTGAAAAGATAGCGCTAGGTAGGGAAAAATAGAGAGGGGAAGAAAGAGGGGAAAGAGGGGGAAAAAAGGAGAAAAAGAGGGTAGAGAAAGGGGTAGAATGGGGAAGAAAGTGGTTTAACTGGGTGATACTGTGCTTTAATTTCCCCCTTAGACCCCCCTCCTTTCACCTCCTGATCTTCCTCCTCCTCCTAATCCTAATCCTAATCCTCTTCCTGATCTCCACTCCTCCCTCCCGTCTCTATCCCATCCCCTACTCATCTTACCTAGCCCTCGAGCCATCGCTGCATCATCCTGCTTTTACTATCCCTTCGTAAGTGGTCTGGCCCCTTACGACTTTGGCCTTCCCTCTTACGACTCTGGTTCTCTCTCTTACGATTCTGGGTCTCTCTCTTACGACTCTGCTTCTCCATCTTACGACTCTTAAACCTTGTGTCTGTCTTAAACACCTGTCGTCTGTCTTAAACACCTGTCGTCTGTCTTAAACACCTGAGGATTTCCAGAACGATGGATTTAACATTGATTAACACGCCTACGACAGTTTCGATCTTTGAATTGTGTCAAATACAAACTCCAGTGAAGAGTTGAAAGATTTCAACGACTTTTCAGCATTGATTAACAAGCTTAAGACAGTTTCGAACTCTATCAATGACAAACTCCAGTCAAGAGTTGAAAGATTTCAACGACTTTTCAGCATTGATTAACAAGCTTAAGACAGTTTCAAACTCTATCAATGACAAACTCCAGTCAAGAGTTGAAAGATTTCAACGACTTTTCAGCATTGATTAACAAGCTTAAGACAGTTTCAAACTCTATCAATGACAAACTCCAGTCAAGAGTTGAAAGATTTCAACGACTTTTCAGCATTGATTAACAAGCTTAAGACAGTTTCAAACTCTATCAATGACAAACTCCAGTCAAGAGTTGAAAGATTTCAACGACTTTTCAGCATTGATTAACAAGCTTAAGACAGTTTCAAACTCTATCAATGACAAACTCCAGTCAAGAGTTGAAAGATTTCAACGACTTTTCAGCATTGATTAACAAGCTTAAGACAGTTTCAAACTCTATCAATGACAAACTCCAGTCAAGAGTTGAAAGATTTCAACGACTTTTCAGCATTGATTAACAAGCTTAAGACAGTTTCAAACTCTATCAATGACAAACTCCAGTCAAGAGTTGAAAGATTTCAACGACTTTTCAGCATTGATTAACAAGCTTAAGACAGTTTCAAACTCTATCAATGACAAACTCCAGTCAAGAGTTGAAAGATTTCAACGACTTTTCAACATTGATTAACAGGCTTAAGACAGTTTCGAACTCTATCAATGACAAACTCCAGTCAAGAGTTGAAAGATTTCAACGACTTTTCAACATTGATTAACAAGCTTAAGACAGTTTCGAACTCTATCAATGACAAACCTTCGAAATGGAACTATAATTTGAATGTTATTTTCAAAATTCACATAAATTATATAAAAAGATCATTAATTCAATCAAATACTTTCTGTCAAGAGTAACAAAAAATTCGGCCTTAATGTTAAATATATTTCATCTATTCTCCTCGGTTTTTTGTTTTTTGTTTTTTCTGATATTGAAATTGAAAAAAATTATATGATAATTGATTGTAAAATTATGAACAGAAAATTCGAGATCTTAAATGACGACAATATAATTTTGGCCAATGGAAAATACTGGGAAATAAACCTAGGTGTGTGTGTGTAGGAAAATAAACTAGGGTGTGTACTTAAACAACAACTAATTGTACTGACACCTAATTGTGCTTGCGCGGGGGTTGAGCTCTGGCTCTTTGGTCCCGCCTCTCAACCGTCAATCAACAGGTGTACAGATTCCTGAGCCTACTGGGCTCTATCATATCTACACTTGAAACTGTGTATGGAGTCAGCCTCCACCACATCACTGCCTAATGCATTCCATTTGTCAACCACTCTGACACTGAAAAAGTTCTTTCTAACGTCTCTGTGGCTCATTTGGGCACTCAGTTTCCACCTGTGTCCCCTTGTGCGTGTTCCCCTTGTGTTAAATAGACTGTCTTTATCTACCCTATCAATTCCTCTGAGAATTTTGTATGTGGTGATCATGTCCCCCTAACTCTTCTGTCTTCCAGTGAAGTGAGATTTAATTCCCGTAGTCTTTCCTCGTAGCTCATACCTCTCAGTTCGGGTACTAGTCTGGTGGCAAACCTGGGTTAAACTCCAACAACCATTTGTTGTCAGTGTGTGTGTGTGTGTGTGTGTGTGTGTGTGTGTGTACTCACCTAATTGTACTCACCTAATTGTGCTTGCGGGGGTTGAGCTTTGGCTCTTTGGTCCCGCCTCTCAACTGTCAATCAACTGGTGTACAGATTCCTGAGCCTACTGGGCTCTATCATACCTACATTTGAAACTGTGTATGGAGTCAGCCTCCACCACATCACTTCCTAGTGCATTCCATTTATTAACTACTCTGACACTGAAAAAATTCTTTCTAACGTCTCTGTGGCTCATCTGGGTACTAAGTTTCCACCTGTGTCCCCTTGTTCGTGTCCCACCCGTGCTGAAGAGTTTGTCTTTGTCCACCCTGTCAATTCCCCTGAGAATTTTGTAGGTGGTTATCATGTCTCCCCTTACTCTTCTGTTTTCCAGGGATGTGAGGTTCAGCTCCTTTAGCCTTTCCTCGTAGCTCAATCCTCTCAGTTCCGGGACGAGCCTGGTGGCATACCGCTGAATCTTCTCTAACTTTGTCTTGTGTTTAACTAGGTATGGACTCCAGGCTGGAGCTGCATACTCCAGGATTGGTCTTACATAAGTGGTATACAGGGTTCTGAAAGATTCCTTACACAAGTTTCTGAAGGCAGTTCTTATGTTGGCCAGTCTAGCATATGCCGCTGATGATATTCTTTTGATGTGGGCCTCTGGGGACAGGTTCGGTGTGATATCAACCCCCAGATCCTTCTCTCTATTTGATTCTTGCAGGATTTCCCCTCCCAGATGATACCTTGTGTTCAGCCTCCTGCTCCCTTCGCCTAATTTCATCACCTTACACTTTCCAGAGTTGAACTTCAGCAGCCATTTTCTAGACCATTCCTCCAGTTTATCCAGGTCATC